TCATTGAACCATCATACCATACGAGTTATCTTACCATTCACATATCATATTATAATCATATCGTTTCATAAATAATTCACACATATCAAATATATGACACGTACAGAACCACAAGGCACGTGTCAACACAAAACATCAAATTATAATCATGCCGATAGTAAGACCATTTACTTGGTTGGCCATAGCCGGCATTCTCCCTAAACTCGAGTACGTTGGAATTCTATTTTCTCAAAGTTGCTCCAAGCATCGTCAGAAGTTGTTTCCTATTCGTACGTCCAACTTATTTTCGTTAATAACTCACATTTCTAGCCTAAATCAACTTGAACTTGGAAATAAGACACTATACTGACTTCAATTGTCTTGATGAAGGTCAAATTCAACTTCGAAAGGGTCAAAACCACAGGGATCGATACCAAAAGCATCAACCCGAGCTGGATAGCCGAGTTTTGAGCTGCACCCAGCCAACTGAATCGAAGGAGTCGGCGTCTGCATGCGCGACATGTGTCGCTGTGGAGAAGAAGACGCATGTTTGGGTGGCGTTTTAGGTCGAGGCACGGGCTTCAGGTCGCAAGTTGTGGGTTGCGCAGGTTTGGGTTGTGTATGCCATCAGGCCGCATCCTCTGCATTTTGTGTTATTGGGTCATATTCGCGATCTGGGTCGACGTCGGGTGGCTTCAGGTCGATATTGCTGAACCATCCCACTCTTCTGCGTAGTTAGGCCGAGTGTCACGGTCATGCTTGTCCAAGGCATGTCGCCCATGGCTGCATGCCCATGACACGTCGAAACCTTTGCCTTGTACTACTTTATTGCTTTTTTTTACCGCTTTTATGTTGTATTATTTCTTTCTTATTTTCTTTAAGAGTGACGTTTCGACGATGTCATGGCTACGCCTAGTAGACATGAAATGCCTCAAAATGTACTATAGGGGGATACGACTAGTTGTCAACTTCTCCCTACCCGATAAGTTATATGTAGTAAGTCGTTGTTGTAGCCTTTTTGCTTACGTTCTCATATAACACTAATCTCTCTCTCTCTCTCTCTCTCTCTCTCTCAAAACTATTTTTCCAAAACCTCTCTTCCTCGCTTTCTAAAATCTTCTCTTGAAATCGAGACCCGAGGTTTGTATTCACGTCGCCTGACCGCAGGCAACGTAACTCGAAGTAGGCTTAACCCACTCAGTGCTGAGAGTGGGTGCCGCACAATCGCCAAATCCGCTGCCTAGAAACCACGATTGTGACAATTGGTATCAGAGCCTAGTTGGCTCCAAAGTGACTGGGAGACATGTCTTCGACTAAACAGTTGAACAAGTCCCATGTCGACAGATTAGTTGAAATAGAAGAACAGATGCAATACTTGCGGGAAGTCCCCGACAGTATTCGATTTCTAGATGAGTGAGTGAAAGAACTTACTAACAAGACTGTAACGATTCAGATTTTCCATTTGTGGCTTATTTGGTTAAGATTTTATTTTTATTTCACAAATATTATGTTATGCATTTATTCGGGTTGAAAAATGTGCAATTTTAAAAAGGGAGTTATTAGAAATTGTAATGGTTTGGGTTTCTGGAATAAAATAAAATCAAACTAAAATAGAATAAATAATTAAATGTAATCTCCCCGTAAATCGAGGATTTCCTGCTCGACTTTTATTACCTAATAGAAACATTCCTATCCCTCCAAGTTTCTTTATCCTAAAACCCTAGAATGCAAATATCTTCATATTATTTTTATATTCCTATGTCCAACCTTTTACCTCCCTTGAAAACAATTTTCCCTCCAAACTTTCCTCCGGAACGTTCGGGTTGCGCTTCGGAGGAAGAATCGAGTAGAAGTAAGGCATTGATGTTGGGATCATTGTGTCAAAGAAGGTTGACCGTCGGAAATCGATGTTGAGGACGTTGTGGGATTGTCGGCGCGTCGCCGGAATCAGGGAGGCAGAAACTAGAGTTTCGTCACTTGTCGGGTAAGGAAGGCAAGGTTTTTGGAATAGGGTCGAGTCGCAGACGCACACCCAGCAGCTCCGGCAGCTTCGCACGCATACACAGTGCGGGTCGGCTCGCACGTGTACGAAATCGGTTCGGTTCCGTCAATTCCCGCAGCTCGACTTGGCGGCTTAGTTGGCCGGCTCGGCAACTAGGCTTAGCGGCAAGGTATCACTATAATATATCGATTCCAAGGTTTTTGGCCCCTCCGAAGCTGTTTCTGCCCTTAGTTTTACCATCCGAGGTCAGTATGGTTCCTAAATGTTAAAGACAGCTTAGGTCGGGGATTTATTTTGATAAATAGCATGAGGTTTAGCTAAGGTACCTCATGAAAGGTTCTAAATTCTTATGTGGTTATCATAGGGCGTATTTAACCACTGGGACTAGCTCGTTGTGAGTGACTTCAACCAAGACCATCGAGGTAAGTGACCTTACTGTTGAAGTTAGCTTACTACATGTTGTATGATGGTGCATGCCTTGTGGCCCCTGCATGCACCATATTTATGTGATATGATTATGTGATGTATAGATTGTGTTGACTGTAGATTGTGTATGTTATGTGATGTATTAATTACGTTGGCTGTTATGTGAAGTCATGAATGAGATGTTAGTATTATATGCCATGAATATGTTGATCGATGCCATAGATACACGTAGAATTGTCGAGTCATGTCATGAGATGTTTTATGCAACTGGAATGTTTATGTAATATGTCATGTAATGTAAGTCATGTGAGATGCCATGTGATGTAAGAAACGTATATGCGACGTTAGCACTGCTTATGTAATGTCATGTTAGATATGTTAAGGGACCTCATGCATATATGTATGTCACGTGCATCGGGATTCTTCCCCTTTATGTTACGAAAGAATGAAATACGATATTTATGTTCACCATGATATCATGAGGGCCCTTTTTTGTTCTGTGGTGTCCGGCTACGTGTAACACGTTGTGCCCGACCAAGTCAAGCCCAAGGGGTATGTTTACGAGCCTGCTTGGTGGGACCATGTACATGTACATGGGTCATGTGTGAAGGAGTACCACACATCCAACCCTACCCGGAATAGAAAAGCGCCCAAGGCTATGAAAAGTTTATGAAAAGTTAGGTCCCGCTCATATGTTGCATGTGTTTGCATTCCTAACCCCAACAGTGGGGTGACTTACTGAGTATTTCATAAAATACTCAAGCTACGTGCTACCTACATTTTTCAGGTAAAGGCAAAGCGCCAATGTACAGTTGACGGCGGAGCTGAGGCCACCATGGAAGTTGGAGATGGGATATTTTTAGGATTTATTTAGACTGTTTTAAGTTATAGCATTTAGTATTGTTTTATTTGGATTTATTTTGAATTCAGTATTGAAGGTTTATTTTCAGAGTTTAGGTTTTGTTTTGGATTCATGAATATTGAGGAGCGAGTCGATGGACTCGATAGCTCCCAGAAAGCGATGTTTCAGATGGTTACTGAACTATCTGAAGATGTGAAAGCAGCCCTCGACGTAGTCAGGGTAGAAATGGCGGACATAAGCGCCAGAGTAAACGTTGTCGTAAGGGCAGTGGAGAACCAAACTTCTTTTGAAATAGTATGCGGCAGACAACCACTCATGCCCCATGTCATTGACCACCCTTATGCTGGGAGAAGCCCCTCAAGCGTACAACTTCACCAAAGAGTGGAAGCAGACCTCCGAAATAGCACAAGCGTACTTAGAGAAAGCCACCAGAAGAATGAAGAAGTGGGTAGACCACAAATGAAAAGCATTAGAGTTCCAAGCTGGTGACCAAGTAATGATCAAGCTGAGATCAGAACAATTTAGATTCTGGGGGAATCGGGACCAGCGACTATTGTGAAAATATGAGGAACCAATTGAGGTCATCGAGAAAGTCGGAAGGACTTCATTTCGTCTCCAACTACCTACAAGGATGAGAATTCACCATGTCATCCATGTAAGCAACCTCAAACCATACCATCCAGACGACGACGATCAGTAGCGCAATCAAGTGACATGACCATCAGTAACGATGAAGGATTCGAGTAAGAAGGAAGTAGAATAGATCTTGGCCGAGCGAACTCGTCGCATTGGCAAACCTAAGCGTAACTTACAGGAATTTTTAGTCAAGTGGAAAGGACTTCCAGAAGAAGAAATCAGCTGGGAACGTGCTGCCAACCTGAAGACAGCCGCACCACAGATTGCAGAGTTCGAAGAAATGAGACGGTTGACAGGGACGTCAACCAATTAAGTGGGAGAGGATGTTACGGTCATGCTTGTCCAAGGCATGTCGCCCATGGCCGCATGCCCGTGACACGCCGAAACCTTTGCCTTGTACTACTCTATTGCTTTCTTTTACCGCTTTCATGTTGTATTATTTCTTTCTTATTTTCTTTAAGAGTATGATGTTTAGATGATGTCATGGCTACGCCTAGTAGACATGAAATAGCTCAAAGTGTACTATAGGGGAATACGACTAGTTGTCAACTTCTCCCTACCCGATAAGTTATATGCAGTAAGCCGTTGTTGTTGCCTTTTTGTTTACGTTCCCATATAACACCAATCTCTCTCTCTCTCTCGCTTTCAAAACTCTTTTTCCAAAACCTCTCTTCCTCGCTTTCTAAAATCTTCTCTTGAAATCGAGACCCAAGGTTTGTATTCACGTCGCTTGACCGCAGGCAACGTAACTCGAAGTAGGCTTAACCCACTCAGTGCTGAGAGTGGGTGCCGCACAATCGCCAAATCCGTTGCCTAGAAACCGTAATTGTGACACCGAGCGTAGTCTGGGCTGAGAACGTTAGGCATTTAGGTTCTGGGGCTGGGTTGTACATTGGGCTGCAGACGGGTTGTTCAACCCGGATCCAGACCCAATTCGATTGTCTTCTTCACCCGACTCGAAGAGGAAGCACTGCAACTTTGTTACATTGTAATCACAAAGAAAATGGACTGAAAATCATCCAAACTCATCCATGCTAAGATTTGGTTATGGTTAGGGAAACACAGACTGAAAATCATCCAAACATAGATAGCATAGAAACATATGACGTTCTACAGAATTTACACCATACAACCACACAAAAATATACATAAATCTCTTCCCTCATTACACATTCCAGACATGGTATACTCAAATGTTCATACAGCATTATGTACATTGCCAGGATCTGTCCCTCTGCCATTTGAGTATCAGCAAAGAAAACAAAGATTCCAAGGCACAAAGGGACCTTGACTAACCTTGCAACACGACTGGAAGAATCAATTGCAGCATTCTACAAGAAAGACGTCAAAAGAAAATTTCCCGCACGTCGATATCCCCAACGCAAGCGTATCCTGATGGCAGTTTCTAGTATTAGAAGTAAACTGTTTGCTCAGATTCATTTAGTGCCTGATTTCTCAAGAAGATTTGATTGCTAAAGACCGAATCTCAGACTCGGTAGCCAATAACTTATCTCTAAGAATTACGTTATACTCGTGCAAACTTTTGATCTTCTCCAAGACATCGAACATGTCGATATCAGAACTATCCTTGAACTCTGCATCAGAAAAAACTGAAAATAACTGACCATGGTTTATCATCAGAGCATAAACTATGTCACATATCCACAAGCTAAGTAAATGCACTCTTGTCATGAATCAAGTGTTGCAGTGAAAAACATGTTCTACGACATATATGACCGACCGACCCACATTCGTCGTCGTGTCATAGACCAATAACATTGTGGCAGTTACCTATTGTGGGTGGTGGAGGAATAAGAGCTTCAGAATGAAACAGTTCGCCAAGCTGTGAGGAATCTCCCTCACATGGACGGGTCAAGCTTTGCTTGCCTTGTCCACAGAACCAAGCATTTATCAGAGGCTGAAGAACATGGCAATATAGAATGAATTAACAGGACATAACAAACTCAATGGATAAGGAATGGGAAACTCACTGGTTCTTGTTTTGTTGTTATCGTTTTCATTTCCGAGTCGGTAGCTGTTGCCTTTAACGATTTTGTGTCCTGTTTAGCAGTCTGCATAGCATAAGTCTAACCAATGTAAAATAAAGAACAAATAAGCTCATGAAGTTGTAAAATAACATAACATTTACTTGTCTGTTAAATCTAAAAGTAGTATATCCACTCTTTGCCTTTCGCTTGCGCAACAATCCGCCCTCGAGACTTGATTGAACCATGCAATCGGCGCAACTCGGTGTTGCTGATAGATCGTTGTAATAATCATCCATTGTACTGCAGCCCCATGTAAACATTACATATTTCCTCAACTAGAAAATAAAATGAGTTAGTTTGTGAAATCATTTCGTTTTGGTTCATGAACTTCCCAAAATGTCAGGTAAGGAGAGGAAAAGATGAAGAAAAACACCTTATTCCAATGATCTTGTGCTATCTTTCGGTTTCTAATATTACGCATAACACTGTCTTCGTCGCGGAGCTTTTTAATTCTGTACTCGAACTTCCAACCAAACCAATTTAGAGAAAAATCTAGTTGACAGTTGACATGTATAACACTGTCTTCGTTGCGAAAATGGCGTACCTGCACTACGAGGTAGAGAAAAATGGCGACACTAATGCAATATAGGCCACCGAGGTCTGCGAGAAAGCTAACTGCAAACAAAGAAATCATAAGTTCAATTATAATGCAAGTGACATTCCACAATAAGTTCAATAGAAAAAGGTATATAGCATAATGTTCATATGATTATATTCACCAGGGTCAAAAATGTTTTGGTTCTCGATCTCGACAATGTAGGAAGAGAGAAGATTGATGAACAAGGTGACATTTAGTACTCCATCATTGGAATTTTCAAGGGATGTTTGGAGATCGCTCGCCTTTTGAAAGAATGAACCAGGGACAAACTCATGAAATAAAGGCTGCAGGAGCTTGGAATCCTGTTGGTTACCATATATTCTAGGAAATAGATTGAATTGCACTATATTCGCGTTCTTCCCTCTGAACGTAACCGGTGTATCGTCAAAACTACTAACGTTTTTTAGTATTCCACTAAGGAAACTTGCATGATCCTTTTTGGGATGATTCCTTGCTGAGAGGTTAAACTGAAATCCAACAGCACTGGCAGGACTACTTGGAAGATCGACGAACTGCCATGAGATATAAATCTTGTCCTGAATGAAACGACATCTTCCACATCGAACACTTATCGTTGGCCCGTCGCTGTTGTTATGACAGGAGTAGTTCGCAAAATTTGACAGTGGCATTACTTTCTGTTGCAGAAAACCAGGATTTCCAAACACAATAGTACCGAGATCACGAACGTTTGCACAACTCATCGTAGAGACTGTGGTTATATTATATTCCATGTCGTTCACAAAGGAAGCCATATCTGGTGCATGTGCTGCTTTGATATTATGCACTTCAATGCTTCTCTTTGATATAGTTTGGTAAAGCAACCTGAGAAAACACTGCAAAGCCAAGTCAATACGAAACCAACACGAGAGAACTTCTTGCAAAGATGAAGTATAGAGAAATTTGGTACTTACGCAGCAAACAAGCCAATGAAAAGTATCCAACTTGCTATTGAGAATGTTCCACCGAGTTCGGTTTTTCGTTTTGTGATTACTTTTTTATCATCCTGAAACACAGAGAAGGCAAGCTAATTAACTCATACCCTACCAACCAAAATGTACGAAGGGTTAGGAATCACGACTCTCCACAATGGTATGATATTGTCCACTTTGAGCATAAGCTCCCATAGCTTTGCTTTGAGCTTCCCCGAAAGGCCTCGTACCAATGGAAATGTATTCCTTACTTATAAACCTACGATAATTCTCTAAATTAGGGACTCTCCCTCCCAACACGAAGGCCTAGGTATAATTGCAGTAACATGATGACATTTTCTACAATTTCAGCTTCTGACATGAATAAAGAACTTGACACATAAAACATTAACTTTCAGCTCATTTCAGCTCATTTCAGCTCAGTTCTTCAGACATAGGTTATTGAACTTTATCAATGAAGATTGAAATCTCCCATCCTGAAAATTGCCTTTTAGTGTGTGATAATAATTAACTTCATATCAACATCAGTTAACCCATGAAATTTAAAGTTCATATCCGAGACAAATACTAGTTCCTGAATCTATTATCTTCGTATCTCTATTCTAAGATCTGAAATTGTTGATGCTGAGGAATATCCCAAAACCCAAAGTAAAACAGAGCAAATAAAGAAATCAGAACAAAACCACCATGCTCAAACCACCAAGTAGCAAATAAAGGGCAGCTAACCAGCCAATGTGTAGTGGCAAAGCAGAGGTCCAATCTGCTAACCCACCATCTCATCCTGAACCACATGTTTCTGCCATCCCCAAGCTTCATGAATCTCAGAAACAAGCAGAAGAAGAGCCAGGAAGCCAGCATTACAAGTGTAGCCTGAAGAAACACAGCTTGAGACTGCATGAACATCCTAAGAGAATCAAATGAGAAAATGGTAACAGGGAAGCTAACAGCATCGCTTTCAGCTTGGCCGATCACGATGGCTGAAGAGCTGCTAAAGAGAACACAGGTATTGGTGGTTCGATCAAGAAGATGGCCTGGTGGGCAGGCGCAAAGGGAGGCATTGAAGCGGAAACTGTTGATTGGACATGACATTGGCGATCTGGGGTTGCTATTTCCAACGACCCTGAAATCAAACGCTAGAAGCGAGATTAGGGGAAGGTGGAAGTGTCCGAAATGGGATCTGGGGTTGCGATTAAGACGTGGGGTTTGCCAATAATACCATCTCTGAGAGTCCAGAGAGTGATTGATTGTATTACGATGAACAGTAATCGAGATAAAGATAATTGGAGGGAATAAAGTAAGAAAGGTGTAGATGCTTTACTGGAATCTATGAGGTGTGGAGCCGAATGAGAGGGAGAGAATGTAGGCAATTGGCAGCCACCGGGCTACTCGGATTCTTCAGCGTTTTTTTCATATATTTCATGTTCTTTACTGTTTCATTCAGATTCTTTCTGGAATGTGTGTCGTGGGCATTTTGGTAAATGCGGGATTTTTTTTTTCTTTTTTTAATCTATTTTTATATCTAATTAGATTGTAAAGATAATGATAAAGTTTCTTAAAATAAGGAAAGGAATTTGAATAATCTTAATCTTTGCATGCTGCTCAAGTCAATAAGCACAGAGTCGGATCGAGTATCGTCTTCTGCGTATTTCCTACACTTCACGACCCAAATATTCTTACCGAACCCAACCATGTCGATAACTGAGTTCAAATCTTCTACATATTGTATTCGAAAGTGATGGAGCAATGTTTATCATAAACTTAAGGTCAATGTCGGTTTTTAATGAGATGAGAATATAAGAATATAGAACAAAAAAAAAAATCACTATTATCTAATTAATTCTCCTGTTTTTCTCTAATTGATATTAATCCTTATATTTAGTTCTATATAAGTGTAAAAGTTGTGGCAAAATATAACATACACACTTGTAAAGTTACACAAGATTTACATAATCTAAGGGTACACCACACCCTTCATTCAATCTACAGTTTAAGAAGAATACAGAGATATTGAGTGTCTTGTCTTATTACTTGCAGGCCCCCATGGCCCTAAATTAAATAACCTTTCTTCATTGCATTTACATCTCTATGTCCTCGAGTTCCGGCAGAGGAAATCGAAGGATTGCTGCAATTCCAGTTATCTGAGCGAGTTCTGTTCGTACCAAAACAATTAGAATTCGTTTTCATCCAACATCAAGGGTAAGATGAACCAACCACTCGTTTTTTTCATTAAAAGTAATGATCGAAAACATATACTTACGCTCTCCAGAGACGTGCATGGATGAAAATATATGAACGGTGCCACCTGAATCCTTGACTGAATCGACCAAATTGACGTATTTTTGTCGCTCCGTTATATCATTATTCCTGCACAAAATTATGTTGTTAAATTAAACAACTATGTTTATTCTATGCCAATGCGCTATGCTGACTACTACGATGAAAGAGCTCATGAGGCCAAACTTTCTAGCCCCAATGGCAAAGAAGATTGCACGAAATGTTTGTTGAATTTCATGAATGCTCAGATAACATTGAGCCCGCAAATTCGTTTTATAAACTTAATATGATTGCACATCGACACAACAGTACAGAGAAACTTGTCACAAAATGGTTAGGGGAAACGACACCTGAAGAGATCATCAGTAATGAGAAGCGTTTGAATAGCCATTCGTTCATGGGCAACCTCCACGTGTTTTGGTCCATAACAAGCACGGTCTGGCTCCTGCACAGTCACAACATGAGTTCAACAAAACCAAGACAGAATCTATAAGGTTGTCTTTGTTAAAGTAATAAATATGCAGACAACCACAATATGTTAATACATAAGAGGAAAATAACTTCAATGCAGAAAAAATAGAACTGGAAACTCACATTAGAGAGCATGGTAAAGAAATCCTTTAGAGCTCGCACCTAGACAGAAGAAAAGGAAAAAGGGGAAAAAGGAAATTAACTTGGGGACATTAATGCACACTAGTGCACGGTTGTACATGTGAAATTTGGCAACATAGAACGTAAAGAACCTCTTGAGCTGCTTTAGTGTCTTTTATCATATTCATGACATTTGAAGCATCCAAAACCTCTCGTAAACTATGCCTATCAAGAAAAAGAATATGATTAACTATTTGAGATTTTTAATTTTCTTTAAATAATTCAGCTTCAGAGAGAAAAATATAGACCATACTTGTATCCTGAGGTTGTATGTGTTAGAATTATGCGGGATTTGTTCTCGATAATAGGTCTTAGCTGTCTTCTTTCAGCTTCCAATAATAAGTGCCGATGGAACTGATCCTAAAGCACGGATAGCAAAACAAAATTAAGCTAAAATAATTATAAAAATGAATATAAAGTCCAATGTAATTCAAACCGCAAAAAAAAAAAAAAAAAAAAAAAAAACACAAATTACTGGGCTCGTTCAATAACCATTTTGTTTTTGGATTTTGGTTTTTGGAAGTTAGGCTCATAAACACCAGTTCCATTATTTTGTTATCCACTTTCTACCAACATTTTCAAAAACCGTGCCAAGTTTTGAAAACTAAAAATAAAAAAAAATAAAAATAAATAAAAAGTAGTTTAACAACTTGTTTTTGTTTCTAGAATTTGGATAAAAGTTCGACTTTTCTTTTAGAAATATGAAAACCATAAAATGAAAGATTGGAGAAAACAAGCATAAATTTCAAAAACAGAAAACTGAAAAAAATGAGATCATTATCAAACAGGACTTAAAATATATATAATAATTAGTTTTTCATCATCCAACAAGATTCGTTGCCAAAAGCCTATTTTCAAGTTCCATTTTTAATTATGTTAGAGAGAGTATTTTGGGTTTACTTCGGACCTTGGTAAATCCAGGACTAGCTATCACTGCACAGCGTACCACTTTAAAATCAACATGCTTCAAGAAAGCCTACATAAAGCACAAAAACCAGTTAGAACCTAAAAAGACATGCCTAAGTTTGTTCACTAACGTGAGAACATAGTCAAGGCATTACTATGCTTATTTAAGGCCTGCAAAACATTAAAATTTTGATAAGACATACCTGTAAAACATTCTCGAAGAATTTATTCAAGGCCTGTGGAAGAAAAAAAAAAATTGGAGACATCAGTTTCTACCCTACTAATGACTAGAACATTATTGTCTGCAGCACTGATCTAAAGAGAAGTGAAAAGTGACTCTGGCTAGCAGAATCATACCGACTCATAACCAGCAATGGCTGACCCATGCTTGCGAGGAATTGAAGTTTCGATTCGAGCTCGAGTAATTGTCATACTGTAATATAAAAATCATCCTAACATTAAAACACAAACAACCAAAATCACTTGCATAGCGCTGCAATAGTTAGATAACATTCTGACAGAAAGTGAACAACGAATAGAGAAATTGCTTTCTTTTATTGGATGGAAAACTGAGCCAGGGCATTAATTGTGGCAAAAGAGTCCATGTCTGACACATCCTGAACACTCAGATACCTGACACTAGTTAAACATGATTTTGGACATTTGAATTAGAATTTGAAAGATAATGAATTGATGTAGAAAGAATTGCAAGAAATCTAATTTGTGGAGTATCAAATTTCAACTTCTCCAACATGTAATTGTTCTGTAATTATTCCCCTTTTCTTCATAGTCTCCAATCTAATTTACTCTCCTTCTAGTCTTTAAATATTCCATTCCTGTCGATAAAACAGTTATTTTTATGGAGAGAAGAAAAACAGATTAGACCAGGATCCTCACTGAAAATTACATTTTTTTTGTCCCTGAGGTTTATACTTAAGAGTCTATTTAGCTGCTAAAGTTTCAAAAGCAACACTTTAGTCTTAAAGTGCGGGAAATAGTTCTAAATGATCCCTAGAGTTAGTTGACGGAGTAGAAAAATGACATGACAATTAGTTGGTTGGGACTGCTTATGCGTCATCTTTAAATGAGTTGGGAAAAAATTAATTTCATATTATATATATTCTTATGTGGCCTTTTCTCTTTTTCTCCCTCCTTCCTCTTGTCCCTACTCCTCTATTCTTCATTTTCATCCTCATTCAGCAGATCTTGCTGCCACACTACTGCCATGATCATTGTCCTCGTACTAAAGCGTCTTCATCTTCTATCCTCTTTCTGCCAACCAGTTCTCCTCTCTCACAACCAAACTAAAAAAAAAAACCCCACGTGTCTTCCTTTTTTATCCTTGTTCTAAAGTCAAGTCCTCGGACAAAAGTTGAATTTAAAAGAGCAATACTATCAAGTTAAAGAGACAAAATAATGAAATAAGGATGTTGGCCATGGAAGCCAATCAATGTGTGCAATGTCAAACACTGCAAACAGGGAATCTGGCGAACCTATTGCGCAACAATTCTATATAAAGCAATTTTTTTCAGTCTCGAAAAGGCACAAGGAGGAGGAATTTCGATGCGTGAAATGGTGGAGAGGTAAATTTGCTAAAAAAGTTTAAGCCCGAAGTGTCTGATTCTGAATTTCTGATGTCAATAGGTTTAATGATGGATAGAATAGTTTTAAAGCTGAGTGTTTGTTATGATCTTAATAATTGGAGCAACACTAGCAGCATTAGCAATCTGAGTTCAACTAGATATGAAATTAATTCACTTAATGTGTTTGATAGTGGGTGGAATAGCTTCAAGCCAAAGGGGTCTGATTGTAATGTCTTTCAGAATTATAAAAGTAACAATTTTGTAAATATGAAGAACTACAAGAACAGTGGGATGGTTGAAGAAGAAAATAGAGGAAAGACCAGGTAGAAGAACAGTAACAAGAAGAATAGTGGCAAAAAATCCACATAAGAAAACAAAGAAGGGAGAGAGTAGGAACGAAGACACTATCACGCCAACCGTGGTGGTGGCAAGAACTGCTGAAGGAGGAGGAAAATGAAGAATAGAGTAGGGATGAGAGAAAGACGGACGAAAGAGAAAAGGTCGTAATAGAAAAATAAATAATATAAAATTAATATTTCTTGGTTTACTCACTTAAAAATGACACGCAGTGGAGTCTCAGTAACTGCTTGTCATTTTTCTGCTTAGTCAACTAACCCTGGACCATTTAGAATTATTTTTCAAACCTCAAGGACCAAAGTGTTGCCTTTGAAATCTCATAAACGAAATAGGCACTATACAACTTAGGGACCAACGGTATAATTTCACCTAAAAATAATTAACAAGACCAAGCATGTCTTCATGTAAGTAATTCCAGATATGCAGAGGATAAATATTTTAGAAAAAACCCATCTCCTTCCGTCTGTCAAAATGACTGCTTACATATATTTATATGGGAAAACCTAAATGTTATCCCAATAACAATAAAGTTACCTTTTTCCGACAAGGAGAACATGTGCTAATCCTTCTTGCATTAAAA